TATTTGTTGAGTGAGTGAAAAAAATGAATGAATGTCTTAGCCACCAGATTATGAGCCTCTACAGTAGAAATTACACCATATTCATCTTCATATTTTTGGAAGTGCCTTGCACAAAGTAGTTCTTAGTAAATCTCTATTGAATTATTAAATGAAGAAATGTCCTTCAATTAGCTAGGTTCTTATCAGCTCAGCAGTTTTGTTTCTGTGGTATTTGTGCCAGGACATTGCCGATGTAGTGATATGTAAAACACTTCCATTTCGTGAAGTAAGCTGAACCAGAAATCCTTCCTGATTTGAACACTTCATTTTCCCCCATTTTTTGGAAATGCCTCTTAGAAGAAAATCTGACAGACACAGGAAGCACGTTTAGCAAAGCTGCTTCCTGATGAGCCCACAGCTGAGCTGGCGGTTAGATCCGTTCTCTCTCCCCAGTGACCAGAACTCCCAGTGACAATGCCTTCTAAATCAAGATCTATTAACTAGGAGTGTATTTGTGAGACAAATGAGCAAAGTGCATGAAATTGAAATGGTGCCAGAGATCCAGGATCTCCTTCTGGGGTAAGGCACAATGTAAAGCACAGATGTGAAGGGTCAAAGGCCCCAAGGAGTGCTTTCTTTTGACAGGCTGCCTATGAGGCCAGGGAGCACCTTTATGAGACCAGTGGCCTTGGTTCTAGGTCAGTTTTGTCAAGAGTGACAAAATTATTTATTTCACTCTTTATTGAAGCCACTTTTTGCTAAATGGGAGGCTGTCTGCACTTCTTTGGTCTGACTAGGTCTGGTATTATCTCTAGGGTCTGTAGCAATAACCAAACAAACTAATGATTCCTTGTTTCTTTCTCCTTATAGAAAGGAAGTAAAGTGAAGCTTTAAAGACTAAGTACCAAAAATCCCTACCACAATAAAAAGAAATGTAGAACATCTGCAAGGGCTTTGAAGGCCTCATGATGGCAGGAAAAGCTCTAGCAATGAAGAAAGAAAACACTGTGCCCTACACCTTCAGGATTCAGGCTGTGGGGGAAGCCCAGCTTTCTGGGGCTTGGGCTGATGAGAAGTGGTCTTCCTTTCTGGTGGCTTAGTGTGAGCAGTAGAACTCAAACTCAGATCAGTAACTCACTGAGGCTTTATCTGAACCATGAGAATAGCTTTGTTTTCACATGATTAATTGAAGAGAAAGATAAAGAAGTGGGAATAAGATTGAGAAGGAAAGATTGCATGGCCCCAGAGAAACCCTCATCACAAAAAGCTGAGCTACTCAGCATGAATCTGGATTTGGCTAGGAATAAAAGCAGATTTTATGTGTTTTGTCCCAATTCTCCTTTGTTTTATTGTTCCCCGGCCCCTCACTCAACTCTCAAATACCAGTTTTTGATATTGAATATTAAGTGTTTAGTGTTAATTTTTAAGTAATACTGGTTTTGATTATGTTTTCAAATAAGATCTTTACCCTTTAGAGCTATATATTAAATTATTTACAGATGAAATTGCATAATGTGACAGATTTGTTCTGGGAAGGCAGGGGAAGAGGAGGTTTGGATGAAATTAGACTGGCTATGAATTGACAATTGTTGAAGCTGGGTGATGGGTACATGGGTGCATGGGGGTTTGTTGTCCTATTTATATACTTTAATTGGTGTTTTAAATTTTCCATAATAAAAAATAATTTAAAATCTCAGTTTCTAGGAATGGTCCCAGTTAGACCTGTTCCTCCTACTTTTCTAGTCTTGTCTTCAAAGACCTGCCCATCAGTGGCACAAAGATGAGCCCTTCCATTATCTAGCAATGGGAATGGGTTGCTTTGAGCCAGCCATACTTTGTGACCAAGGTCACAGATGTGAAGACTGTTGGGTAGATGTAAAGACTGTTGGGTAGACTTCGAGGTGGTTCAATAACATCATGTTGTCTCTAGAGGCATGTGGACATATCGGGCTGGTAGGAATGTAAAATGGCATAATAACTTTGGAAAACATTTGGCAGTTTCTTAAAAAGTTAAAGATAAATTTGCTATAGGATCCAGTGATTCTACTCCTAGATATGTACAAAGGAAATGAAAGCTTATGTCCATGAAAAGACTTGTACACAGATGTTTCATACAGCCTTGTTTGTAATAGCCAAAAACTGGAAAAAACCAAATGTTCAATAAAAGAAAAATTAGTACACAAATTGTGCAATATCAATACAATAGAACACTACTCAGTATTAAAAAGAAACGAACGATTGATAGACGCAAAAACAGGGATGAATCCCAAAGTCATTATGCTAAGTAGTAGAAGCCAGAAAAAAGAATATATACTATATGATTCCATTTGTATAAAATCTAAAAATTTCAAATATTCTAAAGTGTCAGAAAGCAGATTAGTGGTTGCCTGAGGACCAGGGGAAGGGAGAATTGGGAAGGAGGAATTACAAAGGGCACGAGAAACCTAGGAATAATGAATATTTCATTAACTTGAGTATGGTGATGGTTTCACAGATATGTGTGTGTATGCGTGTGTGTTGTGTATGTCTAGTATATAGTTGTATACTTCAAATATGTGCAACTTTAGGGGGATAGTGACTGAAATGGGACATAGGGTTGTTTCTGGGTGCTGAGAATGTTCTATTTATTTGTTCTGGGTGTTTGTTCCATTAGTGTGATTACTTTGGGAAAATTCATCAACATATATCTGTGATTTCTGCATATGTCTTTATGTGTGTTAACAATTAAATGTTAAATAATCAAAAATAGAGGGCATCAGATTAATCTGGAACCATGAGTAGTATAGTTGTATTAGTCAAAGTAAGATAACCAAAATAAAAAACAGCCTTAAAATCTCACAGATATGTGACAATACAATGAAGGTTGTTTTGGGGAGGGGCAACTTGCTCCACCAATAACTCAAGAATACTCTAGCCATTCTAGCTAATGGCCCCACCAACTCTTGGATTTCAGGATCTTCTACTGGATTCCCTGCATTCAACCGGCAAATGGGGAAGAAGAGAGAATAGGAAGACTCACACATGATTTTTTTTTTTTTTTTTTGAGATGGAGTCTCGCTCTGTTGCCCAGGCTGGAGTGCAGTGGTGTGATCTTGGATCACTACAACTTCTGCCTCCTGGGTTCAAGCGATTCTCTTGCCTCAGCCTCCTGACTAGCTGGGACTACAGGTGCACGCCACCACACCCCACTAATTTTTGTATTTTTAGTAGAGATGGGGTTTCACCATGTTGACCAGGATGGTCTCAATCTCTTGACCTCGTGATCCGCCCACCTCGGCCTCCCTAAGTGTTGGGATTACAGGCGTGAGCCACTGCACCTGGCCACACATGATAGCATTTTAGGGCCAAGCGTGTAAGTAGCATAATCACTTCCATCAACATTGCGCTGGCTAGAACAGAGTTACATATAACTGCAAGAGAGCTTGGGAAACGTGCTCTAGATATGTGCTCAGAAGGAAAAAAAATAGAATTTAATGAATACATATGATTATCACTGCCACAATCTACCCTTCTGATCATCATATCCATTTCATTTTTCCTCCCACATATGGAACACCCTCATCATCTCCCCCAAATCCTACCCAGTCACTGCATCCAACTCAGAGTCCAAGATCTCTCACTGATGCACAGTTCTCTCCATCAGATCTAAATGAGGTTCCTCTTGGTCTGGAGATGTGAGAGGATCTCCTTTATTCATTGCTCTCAGTGATTTCTGGCTCCACTTCTGAGAAGTTTTCCCTCATTCTTTATCCTTGCTGACCAACCCTGAAGTGGATGTTTGGGAGTATACTCTTCTTAGGGACTGCAGTTTTTGTAACCTGCTTCCTGCCCAGTGTGGTTTTAAGGATTTCCAAACAGTCACAGGCTTTTTTAGACCAGGCTCATAGTTACCTAGTAATACCATTCCTCTAAAACCCATAAGACTTCTCATCTGTTTGCTTCCAATTAGTTTCATGTGTCAGTAACCCCCTGCCCCCGAAAATTCTTTCCTAGACATAGTTTTTGAGTTTGTCCTATTTCTTCGCTTCCTTGCCCCTCCATGCCCTTCTCTTTCAACTTAATGGCAAGAAAGTTGAGGCTATGTGGAATAATAGTCATGGGTAAGAAGGTATCACCTTTAACCTGAACTTTGCCTAAAGGCTGAGTCACTTTATTCAGTTGAAAATAATTATTGGGCCTTTTTTGCTTAAGGTTTCAATCTTATCTCTTCCTGTTTAATGTCTAGAAGTCATAGTTCTTTGATGCCCCATGTTTCTGTATCTTCTCATTTCTGCCTACAAATTGGCTAATTCTTTCCCTTGTTTAACTTTAAAAAAATTTTTTTAGTAAAGATGGGGTCTCAGTATATTGCCCAGGCTGGTCACAAATTCCTGGCCCCTAGCAATCCTCCTGTCTGGTCTTTCCAAAATCCTGGGATGGCATGCATGAGTCACTGCACACAGCCAACTCTTTCTTTCAATACCTTTCAAAGGCAGCCAGTACACAATATTTTGATTCTTTCTAACCACTTCTCTTAGAGCTGCAGGTTCAGTAGGCATATGGTCTACCTTTCAGTTTTACCAAATTCTTTAATGTTAACATGACTACCATATTTTCAGCCTTTTATATCAGTTTCCTTATCGCCCACTCCCTAACTGCTAAGCCCCACACATTTTAGACTTCTATTAAAGCAGCTTCAATAATGGAATGATTAAGTGCTTGGGTTCTGGAACTGGTTCAAAACCTGTTTCTTCTACTCAGTAGCTGAGTGACTTTAGACAAAATTCTTTCTCACTCTTAAGTTCCTCATCTATTATTAAAAGAGGATTATTGTAAATATTAAATAATATGTCCAAGGAGAGCTTCTACTGGAGTTTCTTTTCTGTCCTATGTACTGCTGCCCAGAGCCTGTGAACTATAGGGTCTCCCCGCCCTCCTAGGAGAGGGTCGCTTTGTTGAGAGATAAGGCTCTAGACTGTAGAACTGAAGCAGTACATATCTTGGATGAAATGTTCATTTAATTCTTTTTTTTTCATTTATAGATTTTCCTGGGTTTAGGCATCATATGTTTTGTCCTAGCAGTTGGGCATGGCATTTGGCAGAACAAGAAAGGCTACCACTTCCAGATTTTTCTGCCATGGGAAAAATATGTCTCTTCATCAGCTGTCTCTGCCATCCTCATATTCTGGTCCTACTTCATTATTCTCAACACCATGGTGCCCATTTCCCTCTATGTCAGGTAGGCTTCTTTGATCACTTTGGGGTGTGGGGGAGGAGCTGACTTCATACTGTCTACTTAATTCCCCAACCAGAGTGTGAACTTGTGCTCTTTAACCCCTTACTCTCCACAGTACCTGGTGTACAAAATGCTCTGAGATATATCTAGAGATTGCATAAATGCCTTCCATGTCCAGAATACTGTGCTAGGAAGACACTGTGTGGTTTATACAAAAAGAAAATTATCCCTGCCCTCAAATAACTTAAAAAGTAAGTGACTAAATAAGACATACAAACACATGAAATAACTAGAAAACATACAGACAAATTTGGTGATGCTAACACATGGGTAGGTTCCCCAGGAAGATAGGCCAGGCAGCCCATAGTTTACCAGTGAGATAGGTCCAAACATTCACTTGTAAGTCAATTAATCAGAATTCAGAATGCATTTTCCCACAGAAACAGTGTGACAGATGGTAGATAGGTGTAATTTTGACCTAAGTTCAATTCCTAAAAGTTGTAGAAGAGAAGAAGAAGGGTTTTTCTTACTCTTTTTCATAATCACCTTGAATGAAAATTTGAAATAGTGGAGAAAAGTATTTACCCTACTCTGATCATCCTTTTCTAGGTTCTGCATTTCCTTACACATACATACACCCAAATACATTTTAGTTTCCTCCTTTCCAGGCTTTCTAAACCCTGTACCGGGGCTTTTTGGCAATTAAAAAAAAGTACCCTACGTAACTAGATTACCTTACTTAGTAATATTTATTGAGTATCTACTATGTGCTAAGGTTTAGAGAGATTGCTGTGGTTGCTGGATATGGTAAAGGATGGGAGGAGTCCCAACTCCAGGCATAGAGATTATCAGTAATCAGTCGATGATGAGGACCTGAGCACTTCCTTCTTTACCTCAAAGGAAAAAATCCCCATCTCTCAGTGCAGCTGTCTCAGACAGGGATTACTAATAATCACCCTTATAATAAAGCAGATTAAAACACATTAAGTATGAATGATGATAAGAAGGAGACCCCTTAAAAGTCTTCACTCTTTTAAAATGAACATGCTTATTAGCCATAAAGAATCTATAATGGATGCTATTTGGAGCAGAAGAGGACTATGACAAAGGCAATAGGGAAAACTCATATAAAATGAGAAGAGGTTGTTGTGGAAGGAAGCACACCACAGGCAGGCTGGCTCTGCCTGGAAATTTATCAGAGGTTCAGTCCATAAACTATTCCTAATTTCCATAACTTCTTTCCTTCTTCTGAAATAAACTCAAGTGTGTTGAGTTCCTCTGTCTTCCCTATGTGACAGGAGCAATAATCCTCCAGTTGGGCCAACACAGCCTTTTATAAGTTAACTGTTACTCTATCACACCTTGCATTACTGCAGACATTCCAAAACTGTAACTTTTCCTGGATACATTTTAGAAAAAAAAAAAAAAAAGAATAAAAGACAGGTATGACTCAAAAAAGTTAATCAAATGTATCTGGGTACAGGTGGTAAAGCCTTGAGTGATAATGGCCAAAGTCAGCATTACCATGGGTTGGCTGGTGGGAAGGGTACTTCAGAAGGGTAGAATCCCAAGAAGACACCCTGATTTTCAGATGCTAGTCCTGATCTACCACAGGACTGCTAAGAAAGAAACCAGGATGTTATATTTGCTTGTCCTGTTCTGACGCAGAACCATTCTTTTTCTTTCTCCTTAGTGTTGAAATAATAAGATTGGGCAACAGTTTATATATCAACTGGGATCGGAAGATGTTTTATGCACCAAGGAACACACCAGCACAGGCTCGTACTACCACCCTTAATGAGGAGCTCGGCCAAGTCAAATACGTGTTCTCTGACAAAACAGGGACTCTGACTCAGAACATTATGATTTTCAACAAATGTTCTATTAATGGGAAGCTCTATGGTATGCATGTCTTCCTGCTTTCCCCAAGTCCTGGGGAATTTTTACTTTGCAAATTGTTTTCAAGACGAATCTAGCTCTAAATCTATAAGCCTCTGGAATTCACATTTACCTCCTATTCTCACAACTGTCTCTATTCTCTAAGCAAAGACCACCCAGCCCAAACAGTTCTAACCAAAAAGCATTTATTTAGCATCTTATAGGTACAATCTATTGTGTTGGGCATGGAGAATACCAAGATGTACAAGACTTAGTCTCTGTCCTCAAGGAGTTCCTAATGTCTATATACTCAGTTTCACTCCCATTTTAAATCAGATGGATGTTGGTCAAAGGGTACAAAGTTTCAGTTAGGCGGGAGGAGTGAGTCTTCAAGATCCATTGCACAGCATGTTGATCCTAGTTAATAATAATGCATTGCATATTTCAGAATTGCTAAAAGAGTTTTAAGTGTTCTCACTATAAAAAAATAAGTTTGCAAGATGATGAATATGTTAGTTAGCTTGATATAATCATTCCATGGTGTATACATATATGAAAACATCACATTGTATCCATAAATATATACAATTATTTGTCAATTAATAATAAAATTAAAAATACATAAATGGAGCAGTCAATGTATTACTGAAGCTGCTAATTTCCTGATTCCCCTTTAGAACAATAAATATTATTAAGAGAAACCATCAAAGGGTAGTCAGAGTTTGATCAGTGTCTCCCAGGCCCAGTCCCTTATTTATCTTATGCCTTAAGCATAAGCTTGTTTTTGTGATAAAGTCTTCATGTGTGTGAACACTCATACCCAGTGTCCTAGCTAACAGAAGAAGGTAATCACATCTAAAAAACTAGAACACATGGGATAATCTTTCTGGGGTGATAAAAAAGTTTTTAAACTAGAGAGAGGTGGTAGTTGCACATTATAAATGCACTAAATGCCTCTAAATTGTACACATTAAAATGGATAATTATATGTTAAGTAAATTTCATATCAATAAATAATTGAAATTTTTTTTTTTTTTTTTTTTTGAGACGGAGTCTTACTCTGTCGCCCAGGCTGGAGTGCAGTGGCCGGATCTCAGCTCACTGCAAGCTCCGCCTCCCTGGTTTACGCCATTCTCCTGCCTCAGCCTCCCGAGTAGCTGGGACTACAGGTGCCCACCACCTCGCCCGGCTAGTTTTTTGTATTTTTTAGTAGAGACGGGGTTTCACTGTGTTAGCCAGGATGGTCTCGATCTCCTGACCTCGTGATCCGCCCGTCTCGGCCTCCCAAAGTGCTGGGATTACAGGCTTGAGCCACCACGCCCGGCCAATAATTGAAATTTTTGAATTTAAAAAAAGCTAGGCCGAGAGTGTTAGCTCATGCCTGTAATTTCAATACTTTGGGAGGCTGAGGCAGGCGGATCACCTGAGATCAGGAGTTCGAGACGAGCCTGGCCAACATGGTGAAACCCCATCTCAACTAAAAATACAAAAATATTAGCAGGCATGATGGCCCACACCTGTAATCCCAGCCATTTGGGAGGCTGAGGTATGAGAATTACTTGAACCCGGGAGGTGAAGTTTGCAGTGAGCCAGGATCACGCCACTACATTCCAGCCTGGATGACAAGAATGAAACTCCTGTCTAAAAAAAAAAAAAAAAAAAAAAAAAAACTAGAGCACTCTAATATTTCCTATTATTTCCTATATTTCTTATTATTTGGTAACCATGTCAAACAAATTTTCATTTATATAAACTCTGAAGGCTTATTTTTGGATGAGTTGATTTGGGTGAGCCTTTTAATTCTCTGGCTCATTTTAAGACCTGACCATATACTGGGTAAAGTTGAAAAGGACCATGAGTGTTTCCATGCTTGGCATCAGACATGTCTTCTACCCCGATTCTGTCTGTCATCCACTGGTCAAGAATCCCAAACACTCTAAAACTAAGTCCACATCTCTTCTGGGTAACTCTTATGATTGGAGAGCTTTCTGAGGTGTGAAGCGTTTCACTTCTAGCTTCATCTTATTCTCACTTAGGAGGGAAGAGTTGAGGCCCAAGCAAAACTCTTCTTACCATTGGGTTAGGGAAAGGAGCTTACTGGGCACTGGGAGCTAGGTGGCCTGAGGAGACTGGGGGCAGCTTGACTGCAAGTCTAGGACGAAGGGATCAGAATAAATAAGCTTTTAGGGCCCCTCCTTTAAATCACCATATGACCCAGCAATTTGATTCCTAGGTATATACCCCCAAAACTTGAAAACAAGAACTCGGATACATGTATACCAACGTTCATTGTGACATTATTCACGTAAGTCCAGAGGTAGAAATAACCCACATGTCCATCCACATATGAATGGATAAAGAAAATGTGGTACAGCATATACATACAATGGAATGTTAATCATCCATTAAAAAGTAATGAAATTTGATACATGCTACAACATGGATGAACCTTGAAAGCATTACGCTAAATGATGTAAGCTAAACACAAAAAGACAAAAATTTTATGATTCTACTTATGTGAACTATCTAGAATAGGCAAATTCATAGAGACAGAAAATAGATTAGAGGTTACTAGGGGCTGGTGGTAGGAAGAAATGGGAAGTTTCTGTTTGGGGTGCTGAAAAAATGTTGAAAACATATAGTGGTGATTGTTGCACAACATTGTGAATATAATTAATGTCATTGCATTTTACATTTAAAATAGTTAAAATGGCAAGTTTTATGTGATATATATATATATATTTTTTTAACCATAATTTAAAGAAATTCAAACCCTCCTTTAAAACCCTTGCCAAGTCTCTGCTGTGTTCACTTACCAACAGGTGATACTTATGACAAGGATGGACAGAGGGTGACAGTCTCTGAGGTGAGTGATTACAGCTCCATGGGAAATGCATGTGGGAGCTAAGTGAGGCTGTGCTTCAGAGAAGCACAAATTGAGACTCCCTTAGCCACTGAAATATTAAAGCTTTTATTGGCCCTGTAATATCAGAAATATCAGAAAGCATTATGTAAATGACCTATGTTTAATTCTGAAGATCTTCATTTGTTCTTTTTAAACAAAAATAGCTTTATTGGCTTTTTCTCTTTAAAAAATAATCCATGCTCATTGTAAAAAAAATTTAAACAATACAGAAATGTGTGAAGAAAGTTAAAACTATTCCATCCCATTTAGATAGCCAATGTAAAGTTAGGGAGTATATCTTATGCTTTTCATATGTATATACACACACACATATGTACATCTAGATCTAGAAGATGGAGGAGACAAAATCATAGTATGCATATTATTTCCAGTTTCCTTTTGTTCACTTGACACTATTATTGTCATCATCTTTCCATGTCAGTAGGTCTAGGTTTACATCATCATTTTGAATGGGTGTCTACTATTCAATTCTATCAGTGTACCTTAATTTATTTAATTTCTTATTTTTATTCCATTTTCTTTTGTGATTACAAATGACATTTTGGTAATCATTATGGCACATACATTTTGTCTACCTTTCTGATAATTATTTCTTTAGAATAAAGTCCTAGAAGTAAAATTTGTTGGTCAAAATGTAGCCATGTTTTAATACATTAGATAGTGCCATATTGCCCTCCAGGTAGATTTGCATAACTTTATAATCCCACCAAAAATATATGACAATTTCTTTCCCCCCATATGCTTGTCAGAACTGGTATTAACAATTTTTAATCTGTTGAAATTTAATTGATGAAAAATAGTATCTAATTATTTAATTTACCTTTTTTGATTACTAATTAGATTGAATCATTTTTATGTGCTTATTTTTCTTCCCCTTATCATCTCTTTATTGCCCATTTACACTTACTTTGTGAACTGTCTATTCATATTCTTCGGCCTTTTTTTCTTATTTGAAAATGCTCTTTATACAGTAAAAATACCAGCTCTTCCTTTGTCTGGTGCATATGTTACAGTTATTTTTCCCATTTTGTCTTTTGGTTTTTAATTTGTTAAATAATATTTTGTGTAGAAGTTTTTAAGTCATGTAATCAAATCTATCAGTCATTTTCCTTTATAACTTAAGGATTTGTGACATATTCAACAGTCTTTATAAAATTATAAAAATATCTTCCTATTAATTTTTCTTATCTCTAGCTGGTTAATTTTTACTGTGTTCTCTAGTGTTGGACCCAGCTTTTGTTTATGGGTTTGTTTTTAAGTATCCCTTCATAGGGGTTCCTCTGTTGCCTTCAGGGTATTTCTCACCTTATCCCTGTCTTGCCAGACCCAATTCCAAACTCTTGGCCACTTGACTTATATACCAAACATCTGACTCCAGTTCTTACCCCTATCCATCCAAAGAGATTGGGAAGGGGAAGGAAATTCAGTGATTTGCCTTAAATCATCTTCCAGGGCTCGGCTAATGAACTTGGCAATATAGGCAAAGTTATAGCTTCTAGGGAGTAAATCCCTCCTGGAGTTTCTTTCCTCTACCTCTTCTGTCCACGACTGATTGACCATAACACATTTTTCACTAAATCACTGGACTCTTTGTTCTCTTATAAACAAACTTACCTGTAGCCTCAATCCCTTCATTAATTGAAACATGATTTTCCCTGAGAACATTTCTTTTTCTTCCATTTCTCTCATACTCTGCATACCATAAACTCTGGATACGATAAGCCCAAAGGTGTTGCCCTCATTATCCTGTGCCATGTTTAACCATTAGGTTTTCTCTCCTACACGGTCTTTCTTCCTGTGATGCTTATGACTCTGGCTATAATCATCTTTAACTCTTCTTGTTGTTGCTATCTAGGAAGCTTCTGGCTTCTACACCCCATTCACTGAGGGCTCTGAAACTTCTCCCTCCCCTCCCAATCACTGCTAGTGTTTTGGGGGGTATTTTCATCTTTATTGGATGACCTATCACTGTGGACTCTTTCAGGTATCTGAAAGAATCCTTCAGATGATCTCTCTGTATCACCCATTTCCATATTACTATGTCATTGTCCAGAGTTGTAGATAATTATAACTTTCTTTTCACAATCTTAGATCACAAACCTTATTCCTCCATATTATCAGTACATGGCTCAGTAATTGAGATTTTTTTTAAGTATTCCTGCTTTTTTATCTCATGGAGATTTATAAACCCTTGGCTTTCCTTTTTCTCCAGTCTATCAATTCCTTACAACTTTACTTCCTTTCCAGGCTTGCCTGTCTGTACCCTGAGATCATAAGCATCCTCAGTACCTTACTAGTTCTCCTTTTCTTCTCTTTAATCACTAAACAAATCTCAACCTTGAATTAACCAAGCCATCGACCCTGCTCTGTTTCTAATCTGAGAGTGTTGAGCACTATTTTGGAGATCATAAAACCATTACAAATTCAGAGACTCCACTGTCCTCTGTCCCAGTGCTACTTGGCAAATTTTTCACCGTTTTGTAATTGGCTTCATATTTTATTCTCCGTATCAGCTTTTCTAGACAATCACCATTCTCAGGCCTTCTACCACGCTCCCCTGGCTCCCCAGTATGTACCAAATGATATTCCCTTCTATTTTACTGAGAAAAATCCAAACTGTCAGCTAAATATCCTCCTCTGTACGTATATTTTAACCCGCCTTTACCTCCTTTCCTTCAGTCTCAAAAAAGGTATAACTTTTTCCTTCAGTAGTAATCTATATATTCTAGATTCCATCCCTTCCTACTTCTTCAGGAACCTCAGTCAATCCTGTATTCTCTCTTTCTTAATATCTGAATATCCCCTTATATGATTTTTTCCCCTCAGCTTGTCTTTTTTCTTTTTTTTTTCTTTTTTTTTCTTCACAGAGTCTGGCTCCATCGCCCGGCTGGAGTGCAGTGGCACGATCTCAGCTCACTGCAGCCTCCGCCTCCCAGGTTCAGGTGATGATTGTGCCTCAGCCTCCTAAGTAGCTGGGATTACAGGCATGGCCACCATACCCAGCTAATCTTTGTTTTTTTAGTAGAGAAGGGGTTTTACCATGTTGACCAGGCTGGTCTCAAACTCCTGGCCTCAAGTGATCCGCCCTCCTCGGCCTCCCAAAGTTCTGGGATTACAGACATGAGCCTCCATGCCTGGCCTCAGCTCAACTGTTTACATTAGTATGTCCATACAATGGAATATTATTCAGCAATAAAAAGAAGTGTGCTATCAAGCCACACACACACACCACAGAGGAACTTTAAGTTCATATTGTTAGGTGAAAGAAGCCAATCTGAAAAGGTTACATACTGTGTGATTTCAAATATATGACATTTTGCAAAAAGGAAAACGATAAAGGCAGTAAAAACAAAAAGATCTGTGGTTACCAGGGGTTTGGAGAGAGTGGGGAGAGGGATAAAGCAGTGGAGCACAGGGGATGTTTGGGGCAGTGAAACTATTCTGTATGATGTTGTCATGGTGGATTCATGACATTGTGTGCTTGTCAAACCCATGAAACACAACACAGAGTCAAAGATGATGCAAACTATGGCCATCAGTTTATAATATGTAGCAATATTGGTTCATCAGTTGTAACAAATGTACCACAATAATGCAACATGTTGATAGGGAAAACTGGAGGGTGAAGGTGAGAGAGGGAGTACGCAGGAACTCTCTGTACTTTGCTTAGTTTTTTTGTAAACCTAAAACTGTTCTTAAAAAAAAAGAGTATTAGGCCAGGCATGGTGGTTCATGCCTATAATCCCAGCACTTTGGGAGGCCAAAGTGGGCAGATCACTTGAGGCCAGGAGTTTGAGACCAGCCTGGCTAACATGGCGAAACCCCTCCTCTACTAAAAAAACAAAGATTAGCTGGGTATGGTGGCCATGCCTGTAATCCTAGCTACTTAGGAGGCTGAGGCACAATCATCACCTGAACCTGGGAGACGGAGGCTGCAGTGAGCTGAGAGTGCACCACGGCTCTGCAGTGACTCTGTCTCAAACACAGTGAGACTCTGTCTCAAAATAATAATAATAATTTTAAATGAAATAAATGGGCTTTTAAAAGCCACAGCTTGTTAACCAGAAGTAACCACTAACAATACATTTTAAATATTTTTTTGTATTCTATTTTTAAAAATACTTATAATCTTACCTTGTTCTTCCATTCCCCTCTAGCCATTATCTGTCTCCATCGGTCAGTCCAAAATATTTATTGAGTGTCTACCATATGTCAGACCCTGAGTAAGTACAAAACGTTCAGGGAAAACAAAATAGACTTGATTCCTACCTTCAGAGTTGGCATCCTAGAGGAGGAGTCACAGAAGTAAACAGGCAATTATAGGAGTCTCTAATTCCTCACCTTTCATTCATTCTTCAGCCTGCTTTATGTATTCAGACTCTGTCGTATCATATTCACTGAAACTATCCTAGCCAAGGTCATGAATGACTACCTTGTTATTAAATCCTGACCCAACTTCTCTGTGGATTTTAGCACTCTTAAACTCCCCTTTTTCTTAAAGCTCTCTTGTCCCTTGACTTCCATTGAATAACAATTTCTTCTTGTTTTTCCTTCTTGTCTGATTGCTTCTTCTCATCTCATTGCATTGGGTGCTGATGTTCCCTCAGGGCTCTATTTAACCTCTTCTCCATCTGTATAGTCTACTCATGTAATCTTATATATTTACATGGCTTTAACTACTACCTATGTACTGATAACCTCCAAATCCATGTAACCAAGGAAACCTGGATAACTCCCTCCCATCCATGGCCAAAGCTAAAGACATCCTATTAAAAACTATGTTATAGCTATACCACAACAATTCAAGAGTTTCCTCAGTTGCTACCTTCTACCCTCCATTCTGAATCCACTTCCTCTCAGGTGTCATCCTCAGTTTCTGTCCTTTTGTCTAGTACTTGGACTTGCTTTTCAGCATTGTTTGACTGGTTGTCTTGCTTTCAATTTCAGAGTTATCCCTGAGTGCTGCCTCTCAGATCATGCTGTTCGGCAACTCTCAGCCAGTGCTGCCTCAGTCCTGAACCCAGACGGGTTCATTGTTCTCAAACATTACTTATCTGAAAGGGGAGATCATAAACTAGCTCATACCTCTTTCCTGAGCTTCAAAACTATATGTATAACTGCCTGCCTTCATTACTACCTGTATGTCTTCAGGATCTCCAATTCAGTCTGTCAAAAAATCTTCTCCTGCTCGGTATTCTATCTCAGTGAATGGTCTCACTGTCTATCCAGGAGCCCAATTAGGGAATATAAAATTATTCCTAACCCTTCTTCTCTTTTACTCCTTATATCCATGTCCTATCAATTCTAACTCTATATTTTCAAATCCATCCCCTTAATTTAATATTTATTGTCACTACTTCATCATTTATCTTGTGAATCACTAAGTGGTCTCCTAACTGGTCTCCCTGCTTCTCATCTTGCTAGTTCCAATATATTCTTCATGCTGCTACCAGAGGACTTTCTCTGACAGGAATCCACATCACTTCTGGTGGAAAATCACTATGACACCTTATTGGTAATAAGATAGTAATGCAGGATCTGGCTCATGCCTTCCTTTCCATCCTTGTCTCTCCTTACTCACTAGCCTCTAGTTTCAAAGAATGTGTCACTGTAAGGTCTCAATTCTAGAAAAGCCTTAGGATACATGTGCTGTATAATGGGTCATCTTAAATTGCTGAAACCATGAACTTCCCCGAGCTTATAACTCTATTGTTGGCTAAGTCTAGGGCTTGGTTCTGGACCTGAGCATACCTCCTTGCTGCTCTGACAAACTCCCTCTAAGTAAGATATAGAAAAGAGCCAATATACCTCACTACAAACTTCCTTTTTCCCAACATAGCACCAAGCAACAAAATTGTATCTGTACTTGACATAGTAGGGCCCAGCCCAAGTAACGCCACATATACAGAGAACTGGAGAAAGATCCTTGAGAGTTCTGGTATGAGCTGGAGAAATGTGTTCATAACATTGTACTCCAGAGTGGAGAAAAGAAAATCTTAGGGCCAGCTGGGTGCAGTGACTAATGCCTGTAATCCCAGCACTTTGCGGGGGCTGAGGTGGGTGGACCACTTGAGGCCAGGAGTTCGAGACCAGCCTGGCCAATGTGGTGAAACTCCATCTGTACTAAAAATACAAAAATTAGTTGGGCATGGTAGCACACGCCTGTAATTCCAGCTACTTGGGAGGCTGAGGCATGAGAATTGCTTGAACCCAGGAAGTGGAGGTTGTGGTGAGCCAAGATTGCACCACTGCACTCCAGCCTGGGTGACTGAGACTCTGTTTCAACAATAACAACAAAACAACAACAACAAAAAAGAAAGAAAAAGAGAAAGAAAGTATTAGGGCCAAGCTGAGCCAGAAAAAAAGTGTTTGCCCAAGGTGGCTACAAGCAGCCTAGCTGAAATGGAGAATCAGAGTCAATGGCTAAAGGAGCCAAGGTCATAGCCAGGAAAATGGTTAGTGACTATGCACAAGATTGAAGGAAGGACTGAAATAGGAACACAAGCAGCAAAGTCAGTGATCATGAGGGTTAGAGGCAGGAAGAATCAGGTATGCTGACAAGTCAAGCAGGAATATAGTCTGTGAACAACAAGCACGTACTGAAGCTTCCTTGTCATGTGGCCTTGCTCTATCTTGCAATATTCTTCCCTAGCCTCCTTTTAACTCTGGTGGGGCCAGAGAGGAATAGTGTAACACAATGATACCACTGTATGTAGGACTCTACTCCAAACTCAGTTCCCAAAATCAGGCAACGGACAACCAGAAACAATGCTCTTTCCAGACACCACCTACAAATACAGAGCAATTACTCCCTCTGTTTTGATTATCCTCAGGTATGATTATCATAGATTTGGGACCTAGAAGAGCAGAGTTTGAAGACAGCCATTAACCATTCAGAATAGCTGGAGTGAATGAGTCCAAGAGGGGTCTGCCAAGCAGTGCCCAGCTTGTCTCCTGTAGGAAGGATGTTTTCTGGCCCGATAAATAGATGATCCAGGTCAGAGCTACAGGGGCCTTAGAAACCAGCACAGGATCTCCTTCATTTATCTTGCTTTTCCTTGCCATCCTCCTAGGAGTTCTCATCACATTCCAGAAACTGCCTCCAAATTGATCTGAAAAGTATCAAGCTGCTGCTGAGAAGTTTGTTCTGGCTTATGTGTTCCAGAAAGAAAAGGTTGACTTCTCCTACAACAAACTGGCTGATCCTAAGTTTTCATTTTATGACAAGACTTTGGTGGAAGCAGTGAAAAAGGGAGATCACTGGGTGCACTTGTTTTTCCGCTCACTCTCATTGTGTCATACCGTGATGTCAGAAGAAAAAGCAGAAGGTGAGGAGAGGCCTAAGGTAGCTTCATGGACTGAGAATATGTCATGGAGTCTAGGCTGGAGGTAGGGGTGATTTGATATGCTTTGCAATGGCTTAATCTAAGAAAGAACTGTCTATTAGGTAGCTTTGTCTGGAATGGATAGTCAAGATAAGTGTTAGCTCCTGTTAATACCAGAGGTATTCAAGTAGAAAACAAACTCTTGGTTTAAAAGAAGATTCATTCATTCAGTAGGAGTCAAACTTGGTGCTGTCTGGGGAGCTTCAGATTATTTTCATTTCTTTTAATTTTTTATGGTGCTCTACATTTTCAGAGAAACTTTTCTGGTAACTAACTATAGAATGATCCCTGAGGCTGAGAGCAGTGGCTCATGCTTATAATCCCAGCATTTTGGAAGGCCAAGGCAGAAGGATTGCTTGAAGCCAGGAGTTTGAGACTAGCCTGGACAACAAAGTGAGATTCCCCCTGTCCACCCCTATCTCTACAAAAAAAAAATTTTTAAATAAATTAAAAATTAGCCAGGTGCCAGGAGCAGTGACTCACGCCTATAATCCCAGCACTTTGGGAGGCCGAGGCGGGCGGATCATGAGGTCAGGAGATCAAGACCATCCTGACCAACATGGTGAAACCCCCGTCTCTACTAAAAATGCAAAAATTAGCTGGGTGTGGTGGCGCATGCCTGTAATCCCAGCTACTCGGGGAGCTGCGCCAGGAGAATTGCTTAAACCAGGGAGTTGGAGATTGCAGTGAGCCGAGATAGTGACATTGCACTCTAGCCTGGCGATAGAGCGAGACTCTGTCACAAAAAAAAAAGAAAGAAATGAAAAGGAAAGAAAAAAAAAAGAAAAAAATTAGCCAGCTATGGTGCTGCAGGCCTGTAATCCCACTTACTTGGGAGGCTAAGGCAGGAGGATGGCTTGAGGGTAGGAGTTTGAGGTTGCAATGAGCTATGATCGTGCCACTGCACTCCAGCTTGGGTGGCAGAGAGACCCTATCTCTAGGGAAAAAGAATTATCCTGAGGAGGGTGGCAGGAAAAAGAAAAAAGAATGGTCCCTGAAAGCGTAGCCGTGGGAACTTCTGATCTTGAAGCTCTGTGATGTTCTGCCCTCCAGATCAGCCCCACTGTCTCTGACAAGGCCTCCTAAAAGATGAGTTGTCATCCTCTTGTTGCTTCACAATTTGAAGATATCTCCACTATCCTAGTTTTTTTAGTAACCAGATCTGGCTATGTCATCCATTAATTTATCCAAACCTCTTTAGAAACAATGAATGAGAAATAATTGATTATAAATTAAGACTTGGCAGGGTGCAGTGGCTCATGCCAGTAGCAGGAGGCTGAGCAGGTGGATTGTATGACTGCAGGAATTCGAGACCAGCCTGGGCAACATAATGAAACTCTGTCTCTACAAAAAGTAAAAAAAAAAAAAAACAAAAAAAACAATTAGTCAACCGTGGTGGTGTGCACCTGTAGTCCCAGCTACTCAGAAGGCTGAGGTGGGCAGATCACCTGAGCCCTGGAAGCAGAAGTTGCAGTGAGCCAAGATCATGCCAGTGCACTTCAGTGTGGGTGATAGAGCAAGACCCTGTCCCAAAAAATAAATAAATTAATTAAGAAGACTTTTTTTCCTTAACAAATAAGAATTTATATAACCAGGCCAGGCACAGTGGCTCACGCTTGTAATCCCAGCACTTTGGGAGCCTGAGGCGGGCAGATCACAAGGTCTGGAGTTCAAGACCAGCCTGGCCAATATGGTGAAACCCCGTTTCTACTAAAAATACAAAAATTAGCCAGGCATGGTTGCACGCACCTGTAGTCCTAGCTGCTTGGGAGGCTGAAGACAGAAGAATCACTTGAACCCGAGAGGCGGAAGTTGCAGTGAGCCAAGATCGTGCCACTACACTCCAGCCTGGGTGACAGAGGGAGACTCCATCTCAAATTAAAAAAAAAAAAAAGAGAGAATTTAGACAACCAAATGAATCACATCCTTTAAAGTCAATGTACTCTTAACACTACCAGTAGTGACACCCTATATTTGTATATCACTTTACAGTTTTACAAATTGCTTTCATTTGTATTATCTCATATAGTCTTCACATCAGCCCTCTGAGGTAGGCAGAACCAGAAAAATGGAAACTGATGCTAAGGAAGCTTAAGTTACTTGCCTAAAATCCTATAGCTAAGAAGAGCAGAGATAAAAACCCAATGTCACGTTCACCGCATGCTTCTCTGACCTGCTGCTATTCCAACAAGCTGCTATTATTTGAACATATTTGGCCTTGGCCTTGTTTACTGCCCTGAGTAACAGAGCAGGAAACACACAAGAAAATAATCTCAATTGTTCAGTAGATATATCTTGTATCTGACCTAAAATTATATTCCCCACCTACCGTATTCACAAGCATAAGACTCTAATGATGCATAACTGTTTTAAAAATCAAATCAACCTTCAGAAGAGAAATAATCTAAAATATACCTCAAGTTGTGACAATATTCTAACAAAGGAGTTGCAGAAATATCTTGAAGAATATCAGATTGAAAGACTGATTCAATAAGGTGAGTCATTTAGCTTCCCAGGGTGACTTTCAAAGATGACAACACTTGCGTATATATATCTCTCTATATATATATAAACTATATATATATAGTTTACTAAATCATCAATCTTATTTTCTTACAGCAGTGTTTTTAAAAGCGTGGTTAGTCTTATTCAGGAGTACTTATGCAGGACCACCTGCATGAGAATCACCCAGGAGATTTGTTAAAAATTCATTTTCTTAGGCCCTCCTCCCAGATTTTGTGATTATGGATTCAGTTAAGTTTGGGAGAGATCCAGGAACTAGCATTTTTAACAAGCTTCCTGAGCCATCTTTACTCACTAAAGTCAAAGAATAACTGCCTGTTCAGTTTGTTTGTATACATTGTATGTTCCATATACCTCTGTAAAGTAAGTTGAAAATAATGGAAATGAAGGCCAGGTGTGGTGACTCATGCCCATAATCTCAGCACTTTGGCATGCCGAGAAGGGAGGATCACTTGAGCCCAGAAGTTCGATACCAGCCTGGGCAACATAGGGAGACCCCATCTTTTAAAAAAAAAAAAAAAAAAGCCAGTTGTGGTGCATACCTGTGGTCACAGCTCCTTGGGAGAGCAAGGTGGGAGGATTGCTTGAGCCTGGGAGGTTGAGTCTTCAGTGAGCTGTGATCACACCACTTGCACTCCAGCCTGGGTGACAGAGTGAGACCCTGTCTCAAAAAAATGAAAATAAAAAATAAAAAAAAGGAAAGGAGAAAACACTGATATGTTCTATGCAATCTGGCCTTGTAGAGCCAGACTTGTCAGGTAGTTTTAAAGAAACATGCCCTTTTCTGGGCTCTATCTTTATATAAACCATTTAGAAGACAGTGTCACTTCTGGGTGGACTTCAGCTACTCATCTCTGTGGGCTCTGGTTGCCCTCTTCTCTCCTGTCAGGCATGCTGGTGTACCAGGCTCAGTCACCAGATGAAGGTGCCCTGGTCACTGCTGCCAGGAACTTTGGCTTTGTGTTCCGTTCCCGCACGTCTGAGACAGTCATACTGGTCGAAATGGGGAAAACCAGAGTCTACCAACTGCTGACTATTCTGGACTTCAACAATGTGCGCAAGAGGATGTCTGTTATTGGTGGGTGCCCTTCCTAGTTGGCCTTCTCCCCTTCTTTGTCCTTCATACGTATTCACACATTGCCTTTCTTTTTTATCTACACATACATGCTTTCTCCCACTTACATACCTTCTCATAGGTATGTGCCTCAAATACAAACATGCAGCCATCCCTATTTTCTCACATATCCTTTAACTTTTCTCTTACACACATATGTGGGCTTGCTACCATATGCTAAGTCCACACTAAGTCCCTGGTGTTCCTGAGCAGTGGCTTGTCAGCACCCTCAAAGCCACGGTGAGGGCAAAGAATAAATTTATAAAGCCTGAACATGGAATAAGAGATGGGAGCAGACAGTAAGGGAAAATTCATACTGTCTCTCTCAGTTAGTTTGAGCCCCTCATACTAAAAAGGAAGGTCATTTTTCACCCGTGGCATTACTAGATATGAGCCTTGGTCTGGGACTTGGAGATACTAAATGTGATTCTACATCAGACTCTTCCATGGGTAGCACTGAACCCATGGAAGAACTGGTTCTGTAAGTTCCTCTCTCACTTTTAGCAGCCCTCGCCACATCATTTATCCTGTGTGACCACTCACTGAGTACTTAGCCTCCATTAAAGGGAGAAACAGTATCATGGGGAATAGCCTCCTATTATCCCTCATTGGCTCAGATAAGTTATAATAAGAGACTGATAGTTACTTTGCTTAATTTGCTTATCTTTAGTGCGGACACCTGAAGATCGGATAATGTTGTTTTGCAAGGGTGCAGACACCATCATCTGTGAACTGCTTCATCCATCCTGTAGTTCCCTCTGTGATGTGACCATGGAACATTTAGATGTAAGTGTTTAGGCTGCAAGAGAAGGAAGGTGCAGGTAGTTCTCTGCATCTGGATATGTAGCCACGTATGTGTCCCTGGGGGCCATCGTGTTTCTATATGGCTGTATAATGATGTCTGTGTCTCTTTAATTGGTAGAAGAATAAAACTATCTTATTTTGTGGGATTTTCGCCGACCACATTGCCAACTTCTATATCAAAGAGTTGAGTGTGACAGTACCCCAGAGGCATGATGAGGATTGTGTCCATGGGAGTATTACAACAATCAGAATAGTTCTCTGGTTCTTGATTCAGGAGTTTCCATAGTCTGACCTGGAGTTTGCTTTAGAATAGGACCTGTTGTTTCTTTCTCTTGCCTGATTGCCCTGGCCAGAACTTCCAATACTACGTCGAATAGGAATAGTGAGAGAGGGCATCCTTGTCTTGTGCCAGTTTTCAAAGGGAATGCTTCTAGCTTTTGCCCATTCAGTATGATATTGGCTGTGGGTTTGTCATAGATAGCTCTTACTATTTTGGGATACATTCCATCAGTACCTAATTTATTGAGAGTTTTTGGCATGAAGGGGTATTGAATTTTATTGAAGGCCTTTTCTGCATCCATTGAGATAATCATGTGGTTTGCTTTTGTCATTGGTTCTGTTTATGTGATGGATTACATTTATTGATTTGCATATGTAGAACCAGCCTTGCATCCCAGGGATGAAGCCGACTTGATTGTGGTGGATAAGCTTTTTGGTGTGCTGCTGGATTCTGTTTGCCAGTATTTTCTTGAGGATTTTCACATCGGTATTCAAATAGGAAGAGAGGAAGTCAAATTGTCTCCATTTCCAGATGACATGATTGTATATTTAGAAAACCCCATTGTCTCAGCCGAAAATCTCCTTAAGCTGATAAGCAACTTCAGCAAAGTCTCAGGATACAAAATCAATGTGCAAAAATCACAAGCATTCCTATACACCAATAACAGAGAACTAAATCATGAGTGAACTCCCATTCACGATTGCTGCAAAGAGAATACCTAGGAATACAACTTACAAGGGATGTGGAGGACCTCTTCAAGAACTACAAACCACTTTTCAAGGAAATAAGAGAGGACACAAACAAATGGAAAAACATTCCATGCTCATGGATAGGAAGAATCAATATTGTGAAAATGGCCATACTGCCCAAATTGAATTTATAGATTCAATGCTATCCCCATCAAGCTACATTGACTTTCTCACAGAAGTTAGAAAAAAAAACTACTTTAAATTTCATATGAACCAAAAAGGAGCCTGTATAGCCAAGACATCCTAAGCAAAAAGAACAAAGCTGGAGGCTTCATGCTACCTGACTTCACTACACTACAAGGCTACAGTAACCAAAACAGCATGTACTGGTACCAAAACAGATATATAGACCAATGGAACGAACAGAAGGCTCAGAAATAATGGCACAACATCTACACCTCTGTGATTTGACACCTGACAAAAACAGCAGTGGGGAAAGGGATTCTCTAATAAATGGTGTGTGGAAAACTGGGTAGCCATATGCAGAAACAGAAACTGGACCCTTCCTTACACCTTACAAAACTATCAACTCAAGATTGGGATTAAAGGCTTAAATGTAAGACCTTACAAACCCATAAACCTAACAGAAAACCCTAGGAATACCGCTTCAGGACATAGGCATGGGCACAGGAGATTCTGGACTAAAACCCAAGAGAATGGGCAACAAAAGTCAAAATTGATAAATGGGATCTAATTAAACTAAGAGCTTCTGCCAAGCAAAAGAACTAGCAGAGTGAACAGGGGCACACCTAAGAATGGGGAGAAAAATCTTTTGCATCTATCCATGTGACAAGGGGTAATATCCAAATATGTTTAGGAACTTAAACAAATTTACAAGAAGAAAACAACCCGCATAAAAAACGTGCGAGGTATGAACAGATCGTTTCTCACAAACAGAAGACATTATGTGGCCAACAACTATGAAAACAAGGCTGTTTATCGGGCACTGGTTCAGTCTGGGAATGCAAAATTCAAAAGGCAATTGAGGATACCATCTCAGCAGTTAGAATGGCGATCATTAGGCTGGGCAGGTGGCTCCACGCTGTTATCCCAGCATTTGGGCTGAGGCGGGTGGATTCAGAGGTCGGGATCGAGTTCATCTTGCTACGTGTGACCCCCATCTCTACTAAAAATACACAATATTTTGGCTGGGCGTGGTGGCGGGCGCCTGTATCCCAGCTACTCGGGAGGCAGGGAGAATGGTGTGAACCAGGAGGGCAGGCTTGCAGTGGCAAGATCACGCACGTGCCTCCAGGGCCTGGGGGATCAGAGCAAGACTCCATCTCAAAAAAACAAAACAAAACAAAAAAAAGAATGGCGATCATTAAAAAGTCAGGAAACAACAGATGCTAGAGAGGATATGGAGAAATAAGAACACTTTTACACTGTTGGTGGGAGTGTAAATTAGTTCAGCCATTGTGGAAGATAGTGTGGTGATTCCTCAAGGATCTAGAACCAGAAATACCATTTGACCAAGCAGTCCCATTACTAGGTATATACCCAAATGATTATAAATGATTCTACTATAAAGACACATGCACACGTATGTTTATTGCAGCACTATTCACAATAACAGAGACTTGGAACCAACCCAAATGCCCATCAGTGATAGACTGGATAAAGAAAATGTGACACATATACACCATGGAATACTATGCAGCCATAAAAAATGATGAGTTAATGTCCTTTGCGGGAACATGGATGAAGCTGGAAATCATCATTCTCAGCAAACTAACACAGGAACAGAAAACCAAACACCACACTCACAAGTGGGAGTTGAACAATGAGAACACATGGACACAGGAAGGAGAACATAACACACCAGAGCCTGTTGGGGTGGGGGACTAGGGGAAGGATAGCATTAGGAGAAATACCTAATGTAGATGACAGGTTGATGGGTGCAGCAAACCACCATGGCACGTGTATACCTATGTAACAAACCTGCACATTCTGCACATGTATCCCAGAACTTAAAGTATTATAATAATAATAATAAAAAAAAGAATAGGACCTGTTGTTATGGGAGGCCCTACCCCCCAGCCATGATGAGAACAGACTACCTAGAATAGAAAACATCAGGCCTAGACTGTTCGATACCTCTCTCTGTTGTCTACAGGATTGGAATCATCAAAGGCACCTTCTCTACCCTACCCTACCTTACTTCTACACTCTAGGATTTGGGATGTATCAAAAAGAGAGAGTAGCTCCAGCCGTCGGGCACAAGAAAGGAAAACCAGATCCATACACTTTGAGGTTTTCACCTCTAAATCTGTATATGCAAAGGGTTGGGGGACTAGGGAGAGAACAAGGGACAGAATAAGAATGAAGATAGATCACAAAATGTTTGATAAATCAGAGAATATGCTATTTTATTAAGTCACCTCAACTTGACTCTCCATTAACACACAGCCAGAAGCCAGAGAACAAATGGCCAATAAGCTCATGAAGAGCTATTCAACATCATTAGTCATTAGAGAAATACAAAAATCAAACCCACAAAATCCACGTTACACCCACTAGGATGGCTAAAATCAAATATTTGAAGGAAAAAGAAAGATAACCAGACAATAATAAGCATTGACAAGGATGCAGAGAAATTGTAACCCCTCTACATTGCTGATGGGAAAGTAAAATAGCACAGCCATTTTGGAAAACAGTCTGGCATTTCCTTAAAAAGTTAAGCATAATGTGATCATATAACCTAGCAATTCCACTCCAAGGTATATTTCCTAGAGAAATAAAAATATACACCCATACAAAAACATGTACACAGGTGGAGGGATGGGAGCAAGATGGATAAATAGAATCCTTCACTGATCATTTTCCCCACAGGAACACCATATTTGACAACTATCTACATTAAAAATCACCCTCAAAGAACCAAAAACAGATGAGCAATCAGAGTATCTGATGTTAACTTCATATCACTGAAAGGTGTACTGAAGAGGGTAGGAAAGACAGTCTTGAATCACTAGCATCAGCCCTCCTGCATCCCCTAGCAGTGGCTACACTGTGCAGAGTATCTGTGAATTTGGGGGAGGGAGAGTGCAGCAATTATGAGAACTCAGTGCTGCCAACACCAGTCAAAACACAACCAGTGCCCACAGAGGGAGCATTTAGACTAGCCCTAGCCAGAGGGGAATCACCCATCCCAATAGTCAGAACTTAAGTTTCTGGCTGGGCACGGTGGCTCACGCCTGTAATCCCAACACTTTGGGAGGCCAAGGTGGGCAGATCACCTGAGGTCTGGAGTTTGAAACCAGTCTGACCACCATGGAGAAACCTATCTCTACTAAAAATACAAAAAATTAGCCAGACATGGTGGTGCATGCCTGTAATTCCAGCTACTTGGGAGGCTGAGGTAGGAGATTTGCTTCAACTCGGGAGGTGGAGGTCGCAGTAACCTGAGACAGTGCCACTGCACTCCAGCCTGGGCAACAAGAGCGAAACTCTGTCTCAAAAAAATACCTTGAGTTTCTGCAAGCTTCACCATCACAGGTTAAAATGCTCTTGGGTTCTAAATAAACTTGACAGGCTGTCAAGGCCACAAGGACTGCAACTCCTAGCCAAGTCCTACTCCTGTACTGGGTTCAGAGCCACTGGACTTGGAGGGTCATGAGACCCAGTGAGACACTAGTCTGGGCGGCTAAGGGAGTGCCACCCCTACCCCAACCCCAGGCAGCACAACACATACCTCCAAAAGAGACCCCTTCCTTCCATTTGAGGAGAGGAAAGGGAATAATAAAAAGGATTTTGTTTTGCAACTTGGACACCAGCTCAGCCACGGTAGGACAGGGCATTAGGCAAAGTCATGAGGCCCCCATTCCAGGCCCTAGCTCTTAGGTGAGATTTTTAGACATGCCCTGGGCCAAAGGGAACCCACTACCTTGAAGGGGACCCAGTCCTGGCAGGATTTATCACCTCCAGACTTAAGAGCCCTACGGTCCTGAATA